TTTTTTACCCACAAAAAAAGGCCCCCCCCCCCCCCCCCCCAAAAGCCGTAAACCGAGGGGAAACACTGAGAAATACGGTGCACTTCTTAAACAAAGCATTTAAGTTGAATCGGATAAACATTTAAACTAACAGATATCAGCAGTAAATTAATCACAGTACATTAAGACATTTGTCTTGTATGACAAGTTTCCTGCAATGTTATGTTTAACTATGCAAATGAGGCATTGTGTAATTAAATATGCACTGATTTGCAAACATTTCCAGAACAGAATTCTGAACACTGGATAAAGATATGTTCATTTTTTCCCTCTCATTTTGTTGACATATTAAATGTTTTTACAGAGTAGACCTCTTTTTATCACTCCATAAATCAGAAAATACAGCTAGTAGAAAACACTTCTCACCATGTTTTTTTAAGGAATAAAGTGTTAAAATTATATCAGGCGAATGATATATGAACAAAACCCTCTGTTAAAACCTAGAAAGTAGAAAGTTTACTGTACATACAGTAAGTGCTACTGAAGTGGAGATTTCAGTTTTTTAGGTTTTAAAAAATAAACAATTAACTAAAAACAAAACCACTCTCATGCAATTGGTTAAAAAAATCTAAAATCATTTGTTTTCAGATCACACCTATTCATTTTTTTTCTTCATTTAATTTATTTGTATGTAATACAATGAAATTCATACATTTTATGTGTTTGAATACTATTGGGGGCCACTAGCATGTGAAGCTGGATTTTACACCAATAGCTATGTTTATATCCAAATTTACGAATATTAAGTTGCACTAAATATCACAAAGAAAAATTAAATTTGCTTCAGTAGGAGAAGGCACTGTATATAATAATTTTACAATAAATGTATACATTGAATTACGAGCTTCAGAGCACACAGATGAAACACGGTCATGTTATCTTATTTTCAGAGCCTGCTGTTTGGGAACGCAGTTCTGAGAGTTAATTATAACTTTGCACAAGCATTTTAGAATGACAAAACTAGCATTTCAGATGCTGTGCAATGAGATCGGTCTATTGGTTGGTCCAGTTTCATGCAGTCCCATTGCAAAGTCACATGTCTTTTTTGATGCGCATTAAGGAATTTATTCGGGAAAAGTGTTGCCATTGTAGTTTATGTGCACATTTTCTCATGTGATAAGACATTTATCCAACTTAGTTGAGCGCAAGTTTTTTATGCGCATTTTTAGAATTCATGCACATTTTGGCTTTTCCATCCAGTGTTTTTTTTATGCGATGTCCCAAAATGAGCACAAAAATAGGTGGATGGAAACACAGCTAATGAGATTGATGTGGGTGGAACTACCCAGCACAACACAGCAAAAATAGAAGCCAAGCTTATATCTAAGGTGACCAGACGTCCCGCTTTTCCTGGGACAGTCCCGTATTTTGAAAAAATCACGTTTTGTCCCGTATTTCAAAATTCCTTTACGACTGGGTGATCAGAGCGAGTAGTAGAAGTGTTCTGTCACACGACAAACAGACTAGTCAAAGGTAACTACGCTTGTCGTAGAACAAAATTACCATCCAATCACAATTCGTTATCGATTAACCGCACGCAGTAAGTGAAGAAAGGACAGGCGGAATCACGCTGAATGTCACAACAGAAACACTCTCTCGGCCACGCGATATCAATTCTTCTTGCGCCAAAATTGTCAAATACACACATAGCTGTAAAGATGTCCACTGTGTGGAGTATCTCATGTAAATACAGTCGGTTATAGCTTAAGTGAACGTAAACAGGTGGGTGTCAGTATGTGTCAGTATATTACATTCATTCGGTCTTAAAGGGACAGCATTAAATACCCTACCTGTCTGTCTCATTAATGTTAATCAAACAAAAAAAAGATGTAAAATAAATGTATACGTTAAACCTACTGTATTAGAAAAACAAGTTTTTTATATTAATTTGTATCTATTGTATTTGTCTTATGGTTTGTAATTTGCTTCTTTATGTTTATATAAAAAATAACTTTGTGTGTGTGTGTGTATGTATATATATATATAATTGAGATATTATGAAATATTATTTCTCATATCGTGGTCATATATCACGCCACCCCCACCCCACGTGTCCCGTATTGAACCATGAGAAATCTGGTCACCCTACTTACATCAAAAGTACACCAAATCTTGACTCGACATGCAAAATACAGGTACTCACCTCTCTCACAGGAGCGTCCCAGATAGCCCGTCCCTGAGCAGTCACACACATATCGGTTCCAGCCCTCTCTGCAGGTGCCGCTGTTCAGGCAGGGGTTGCTTAGACACTGTTTGGGAGGTTCCTTAGAGCAGGACGGCTTCACCCCGACTGCTCTCTGGGCTTCTGCTGTCCGCCGGATGTCCTTGCTCTGGCCGTCCATGAACAGATCTCGCACGCAGCCCACATAGCCGTAGTTTAGGAGCGCAGTCCAGACCTCCGTAGGGAAGATCAGACCAGCACGGTCCTCTGGCAGGCCGCCCAGATAGAGTATGTCTTCCAAGTCCAGGATCTCACTCTCACCGGGAGCGTTGTAGGGAGTACGGATCGAGTTCACGGAAATGGTGCCTGTCACAAAACCACGAGAAGCAAATTTAATTTTGTTAACTTGATGTTTAGATGCCATTTCAGCAACTTCTAAAAAGTTTGATTCAGTTTTAATGAGAAATTATATATGCAAATTGCGGACTATGCAAATGAGGCTCTTTAAGGGTATTGAAATTATCCTTCATCCTTTCCTCTGTAAATAAACCCCCCTTTGCTTTCAAAGCACACAATGCAGACAGAAATCTCTCAGTTTCAGTCTCCTTAAAGTAAATTTGAAATGATGTAGCTACTGTATATTCATGTTTAAGCCTGGAAGTGTGAAAGATGATTTCAGAGCAACACTTTGTCACCATTTGTCAGAACAGCGCCTATAGCATTGATTTGTCAGTTTTGCATTTGTAGGTATGTGTCGAGTATAAAATGGCTCTGCGGATGATCAAATCAGCTTGATGTAGATGTCAATAGCAAAAATATGAGTTATGAACAAGACTGGAGCTAGAAAAAATAGGAAGCCCAGGACAAAACTTGGGCCTTCGGCACATTGAGAAATCGTTAGCATAATTTCTGGTTAAGGTATGCACTTATTTAATGTATTCAAAGCGTTGGAATGCACAGACTTATTTAAATAATATTCAAAATAATTGTTTATTACTTCCACTTGGTATAATATAATATAATATAATATAATATAATATAATATAATATAATATAATATAATATAATATAATATAATATAATATAATATAATATAATATAATATAATATAATATAATATAATATAATATAATATAATATAATATAATATAATATAATATAATATAATATAATATAATATAATATAATATAATATAATATAATATAATATAATATAATATAATATAATATAATATAGTTTTAGTTTTATTTCATCACAAACATCTTTTTGTTGTGGGAATCTGTAAAATAAAGTTCTCTGTACAGTACTATATTGGGTGTATACTAATACTGGATGTGTATAGTAATAATTGAAATGTTACATATTGTTGGAAATGGGGCCTCACAGTCACAAAAACATTATAGAGTGATTAACATTCATATATGTGCACATGCTTTCATATTATCATCTGATTCTCATCTGAACTCACAGTGCAAACCCTTACACAAAGACAAAGATTCAAAAAGCTGTCTCCATAGCAACAGTAGACAATATGTATCAGATTCACTGGATAGTCATCACTATCAAAAGGGCATATAACAGTAAAAACGCTTAGCTCTATTCATATCTAATTTATTGGTTGTGACTGATTAGGTTCTCACAAATTATTTGTATATCCTTTCAAAACATGTTTCAGTCTGCCCTCTTCTTTTATGGTTTATGTCTAAAATACCGCTTTTACAACAGTGGTTAATATAAAGAGCAAAAAAACAGTACTCTCAGGTGAGGCGAGTCTTTCATTCAGTTAAAACACTTTCACGAGTTCCATAATCACCCTCATTGTTTTCCTGGCGACTCCAACAAACAGGCATTTATACGCAGCCGGCAATTCAGAATTTTCCTTCTCATTTTCCACCACTGTGCACTGCCATTATTCAAGCCTTGAAGGCAGTTACAAAAGAAAAGCCATTACTGGCAAGATAGGAGAGAACAGGCAGGGATTAAGCGCTGGCCACTGCTGAATCCTGTTTATTAGTGTCCAACACTGAGTCCAAACTCAATAAAAGGCGGCTTAGAATTAAAGATGCCGCCTTTTCGGTGCCAAAACCGTGTTCCTTTAGTGACAAAAATGCAGCTTCTGTTATAAAGGCAAATTAGTGTGAATGTAACCGAGGGGTCAGCTGGAGGTGGTACTGCGAGGCATGCAATATGTTAAAGGAACAGCTCATTTAACGAAGCACTAAAGCAAACGCACATCTCATGGAAGTGCAAGGTTTAGTAAAGAAAAATATATAACTGCAGACTTGCAGACTTATTTTGACCAATGTTTGGACAACAAGCAGTTTTCATAATTGTAGATGTGTTTGGTATGTCTATGTGGCTGGTTTATGGGATCTTTTTTCATGCAGTGGTGGTCTTTTAGGACTTATTTACTGTATACTTCATTGTTTGTTGAGGATCAGTCAGTGACCTTAATTGTTTCAGTAATTAAGACAGATAATATAATATAATATAATATAATATAATATAATATAATATAATATAATATAATATAATATAATATAGTTTTAGTTTTATTTCATCACAAACATCTTTTTGTTGTGGGAATCTGTAAAATAAAGTTCTCTGTACAGTACTATATTGGGTGTATACTAATACTGGATGTGTATAGTAATAATTGAAATGTTACATATTGTTGGAAATGGGGCCTCACAGTCACAAAAACATTATAGAGTGATTAACATTCATATATGTGCACATGCTTTCATATTATCATCTGATTCTCATCTGAACTCACAGTGCAAACCCTTACACAAAGACAAAGATTCAAAAAGCTGTCTCCATAGCAACAGTAGACAATATGTATCAGATTCACTGGATAGTCATCACTATCAAAAGGGCATATAACAGTATAAACGCTTAGCTCTATTCATATCTAATTTATTGGTTGTGACTGATTAGGTTCTCACAAATTATTTGTATATCCTTTCAAAACATGTTTCAGTCTGCCCTCTTCTTTTATGGTTTATGTCTAAAATACCGCTTTTACAACAGTGGTTAATATAAAGAGCAAAAAAACAGTACTCTCAGGTGAGGCGAGTCTTTCATTCAGTTAAAACACTTTCACGAGTTCCATAATCACCCTCATTGTTTTCCTGGCGACTCCAACAAACAGGCATTTATACGCAGCCGGCAATTCAGAATTTTCCTTCTCATTTTCCACCACTGTGCACTGCCATTATTCAAGCCTTGAAGGCAGTTACAAAAGAAAAGCCATTACTGGCAAGATAGGAGAGAACAGGCAGGGATTAAGCGCTGGCCACTGCTGAATCCTGTTTATTAGTGTCCAACACTGAGTCCAAACTCAATAAAAGGCGGCTTAGAATTAAAGATGCCGCCTTTTCGGTGCCAAAACCGTGTTCCTTTAGTGACAAAAATGCAGCTTCTGTTATAAAGGCAAATTAGTGTGAATGTAACCGAGGGGTCAGCTGGAGGTGGTACTGCGAGGCATGCAATATGTTAAAGGAACAGCTCATTTAACGAAGCACTAAAGCAAACGCACATCTCATGGAAGTGCAAGGTTTAGTAAAGAAAAATATATAACTGCAGACTTGCAGACTTATTTTGACCAATGTTTGGACAACAAGCAGTTTTCATAATTGTAGATGTGTTTGGTATGTCTATGTGGCTGGTTTATGGGATCTTTTTTCATGCAGTGGTGGTCTTTTAGGACTTATTTACTGTATACTTCATTGTTTGTTGAGGATCAGTCAGTGACCTTAATTGTTTCAGTAATTAAGACAGGCCTGTTAACTAATTATTGAACACTGATTGTGATGTTGCCATTTTTCACCTCGGAGTAATTATTGACTTTACTTATCCATTATCGACACACACACACACACACACACACACACACACACATACAGACATTGGGTTTCCATGTTTTATTGGGACATTCCATAGGCTTACATATAGGCTTTACAAACAGTACTTTCTATTCACTTACCCTAACCCTACCCATCACAGAAAACTGTATATAATCTGATGCAGTGGGATTCAAAACAAACAGCTACATACTGTACTTCATATGTGTGTGTGGTCTTGGTATTCCCTACATTATGGGAACCAAATATTCCCACAAGGATAGTAATACCAGTAAATTTTGACCTTGTGGGGATATTTGGTCCTTATAACATAGGGAATACCGGGACCACATACACAATACAGAGCTGTTTGTTTTGAACCCCACTGCCTTTAATTATATGGAAAAAAACAGTTCTTCAAAATATCTTCTTTTATGTTACACACATCAAAGAAAGTCATTCAGGTTTGAAACAGCAAGTTAATTATGACAGACTTTTCATTTTTTGGTGACCTGTGACTTTAAGTCAGTCTGCAAATGCTAACTTGGATTTTAAATGCCTCTAAAATCTAAACAAACATTGGCCAAAAATGTATGAATTTTCATTATAATTCGTCTGTGAATAGATCACAGGAAAAAACAGCAGGACCGTTAGTGAGTATGTGCATTTATATTAGTGCCAAGCTCCAGTAAAGGATGTATTTGTTCTCAGATCTGTGATTTATTTTCATCATTAATGGCTATTGTGGGATTTGAATGAATAGCTGCAGTATCGTTCTGCTATGCTTTCCAGTTTGTGATGTAGAGCTCTGGGCCTGAGCTCAGATCTGCGTCACATACCTCGAGAGGGAGAAAAATTCACTTTGAGATTAAATGTGATTCCATAGACTGATTACGGCCTCCTGTATCTGACTCATTATTCACAGGCACACCCAAAGAACCGGGAGAAACACTAAATGGCCAGACATGGTGGCACAGTAAATTATAATTATGCTCCGTGCAACTTGTTCCCTGCCAAGCATTTCGACAAATACGCTGAAATAGTGCTTTCCGTTCTATTCCGCTTGATACATCACTGCAGAGATGCCACTTGTAACATGCTAACAGTGTTAGTAAATAAGAATTTCATTTTCCTCTAAGCCTGTAATAAGTCTGTGTGGATTTGATGAGGCATAGTGGCACTTTCTCCTCCTCTCGCACTCACACTGTCACACACACACACACACACACACACACACACACACACACATTATCTTGTCCTGTGTCGCGCACTTGGCGACTGTACCCCTAAACAGCAGCCAAACATCTCCCCCTGGGTCATCAGTAATGAGCATTCTCCATCATCTCGACTTCCATTCACTCTGCTCAGTGATTACACAGCATGGCCTAATGCTGGGCCGGTTTTACTTTATGTACACACGCACAAATATACACACACCAGTGGAGTAGAGTGGATTTTTGAAAAAGGAGGCAAAGTCCCATTTGTTTTTTTTTCATTCCAATGTAAATTCATGTTTCAGTTCATTTGATTTTTTCATGGTTTAGGCTTGACATGTATATGGAATGCACTTTATCTTACACTATCAACTAACAATCAATGCTATTATATTTTTTGCATGTATTATATAAACATACTATTTCTTAGGGATGTGCTTGAAGCCACATATCTTATTCAGAAAGGCTCAAAAATAGCTAAAAAATGAATGCCGAATTCTAACAGAGAAAAAAATGCACTGCACTGGTCTAAGATAAGTTCTAAGATAATTTCAACTGTTTGCTATATCTATACTAATGTTTAAACCTTCAGAGTGAGATATAACTTTTTCTATTTTTCCTTTTTTTTTTCAGTTTTAATTCATTAAGGTTGCAATAAAAAAAAAGAGTAAATCTTTTAGTATACAATAAAAATTTGCTATATGGAAACTACACCACCATTCAAAAGTTTACGTGACATGAAATTGTACAAATTTTCAAATTTTTACTGTATCTACTGCATTTTAGTTTTGATAAAGTCTTCATATGGGATTTCTTTCAAAACATTGAGAAAAATCAATATTTTAAATCAATCACTTAATAGTGCTTTCAAACGATTAATCGCGATTAATCGCATCCAAAATAAAAGTTTTGTTTACATAATATATGTGTGTGTACTGTGTATATTTATTATGTATATATAAATACACAAACATGCATGCATATATTTAAGAAATATATGTAACGTTTATATATTAAATATATTTATATATGATATAAATTATATGAATATAAATATATATATGTGAATACATGTAAATAGTTTCAAAATATATGCTGTATGTATATGTATTTATATATACATAATAAATATACACAATACACACACATATATTATGTAAACAAAAACTTTTATTTTGGATGCAATTAATCGCGATTAATCGTTTGACAGCACTAATACTTAAGTTATAAACTACAAACTTTTAAATTGTAGTGTATAAATGAACAGAGTTAAAAATGGGCTCTTCATTTAGTTTTGACACACTGATTCTATATGAATGCAGATACAGAACTGATTACTTGTCGATGCAAAAGATAAAGATAGAGATAATGATTTTGCACTATTTTTTTTAAAGCCAAATCACATTCAAATCTCATAAAGTTTAAACATTTTAAACTTTTTTTTTTTTTAATCATTGCTTCAAAAGTAATCACTGCAGTAGTATAGTATTAAAAGCATAACTCATGTGGCTTGTTACTGGTAACTGATGTTTGGCTATTATTATTAATAGTCACCTTCTTTTTGGACCATTAGTCAACAAATCCTCTGTAAACACCGCAGGTCTCATGTCGGTCGCAGGCACGGAAATGCAGCTTTCATTTAACTGAGCTAAATGGTCACTAAAGCCTCACTCATAGATCACTTCCAGTTCATTACAATTCAGAAATGACAGAAAGTGGTGATATCTGAGTGGGTGTGTTTACTTTCTACTTAGTCTGTCCATTTCCACCAGTTTGACCCATTCATTCAGGCCAATTTGCGGCCTGGCTGCCTGTCCCTTTAGAAAAATAAGTGGTTTATACACTACCCAACCTCATATTTCAGAAAATTTCTGTATTCTCTCATCCTACTTTTTTGTGGAGGCACAAAAACGCCCCTGACGTATATCTATATGTCTACATATGTACATTCTCATTAATAGATGCATATGCAGACGCACAACCGTACATGTTTGCATACACGCACGCAAAAAACACCAGCATGCCCACACACACGCGCACCCTGCACTAGGACGGCTGCCCATATATGATCAAACGGCTTGCGTAGGCAGGCAATTCACGCAGGCGGGAGAGTGACACAGCTCATTCTGCAGGCTTGAAATGCAAGGTCCCATCTGTCAATGGTGTTTCAGATTCCCATGAAATGCTACTAAGAGAAAAGGTTTATTCTCGCTTTCAAACTGTGCCTGAACTCACAATGACAGCCAGTGGATTGTGCAGCAATAAAGCCTGGAGAATAAGATCAAACCGAGCCGTGGATAAAAACAATGATTTGATGAAAAATACAATTTAAAACCGTGGAAAAAAAAACTGCGCTCCTAACGAAACCATTTCCAATCCCAATTGAATACTGTATTGGCATGAAACAAAAATATCACTCTTGCTTTAGAAATCTTATTTTATAATTGCTCCAAAAGCTATTTAATTTTCTTCTTATAACTTTCACAATTTAATCTCACAGTGTATGTCAGAACTAATGCAGGTGACTGGCGTTTCTATATCCGGAAAGAGAAGATGAGAGATTCGAAATAACCACGGATCAATAGAGCCTTTTCCCACCTTTTCACAGAAAAAGGCTGTTCCTTTGACTCCAGGCAAACGGCATCGACGTGCGAGGAAAAGGGGAATAGCGGGAGAGTTAGGGATGAACATCTTTACTTGGCAGAGCTGTGCACAAACTCGCTCTCTCCTTTGGGAAACCAAATCTGGTTTCCATGGCAACTATGCCAGAGAAGACAGAGGAAGAAAGGAGGAGGAAGACAGGAAGGACTGCGGGTCCTGTTCATATTCAAATGCCTGCCTGACAGTGTGCTCCAGAAGGCATGGTTATGACTGTGTTCACGCGAGCTTGAGAGAACGCTGCTGTCTCAGCTATGTCAATATTTTCGTAGACCTTGAATACCAGCTAGCATCTAACCATACACTGAATACATCGAAAATACATTAGCAGAACAGAACCAAATTCTACCTGATCTTCCATCTCTCTGGAAGTCCACGTGGTACCATTCCCCGTCGTTGACTTTTTTGTTGACGGCACGGGTTTTGGTGGTGCCCGAGCCCATATCAAGCAGAAGGTACAGGTGGCCGTCCAGCATCTCAATGGCGAAGAAATCCACCTTCAAGGTTTTGGGGCTCTTGGGGTCTTTCTGCTGCTGCGGTTTGGGTTTTCCGTGGCTGAAGAGGAGAAGGCCGTTGGGCTCAGTGGTGCGGAAGTCGAAGGAGATGGAACCGGCTTTTTTGGCGGACCACTTGTCAAGGGTAATGAATGACTCTGGTGTCTCGAAGGTGACAGGATCTAGGGTAGCCACGTTCTCGCATTTGAAGGCCACCACGCCGCTCACCTTCATTTTGGGGTCGCCTAGCTTGGCCAGTCGAGACAGCTCGAGCCTTACATCGTTGTTCTTGTACACAACCTTTATGTGAAAAGAGAAGATTTCCAGTGAGTTAACAAAAAAAATTCACACTTTATACCATGTTTATGTTACTGTGTATTCCAAATAATGCTAGGAGTGTTGGACAGGAGGTTGAAATTAATATTAATATATTAATAGTGTTAAACTCTGTTCCAATATTATTGCAATTTCAACCAAGAGGACCTGAATCAATAAAGTGTATAAGACGTCCAGTAACCTATAGTGACGACTCTGATTGGAGCTGCTACTAAATATAATTTGTTAGTATTATTTTAATTAATTAATTTTTACATGTAATATGTGCATTTGTATAGAGGACCAAACCTGCAGAAATTAAAATAAATATAATTAATTTGTAAACAAAACTTTAATCCTGAATTTATTACCTTTTTTCTTTATTTATTATTATCTTTATTTATTATTTACTTTATTTATGATTTTCTCTTTTCATTTGTTATATTCTTTATTTTTTACATTTTTTATTTTACTTTATTTTTATATTTATTTTTATGCATTAGGTTATTTTTTATATTTATTTATTTATCTATATATTTATTTATGAATTTATTTAGTAATTTCTGCAGGTTTGGTCCTCCAAACATTTGTATGTAAAAAATAAAATAAAATAAAATAAAATAAATAAATAAATAAAAATCTACATTCTATCTACTTGTACTCGTCTATGTATTGATGAACTCCATTCTCCACTTGACTAAATGTGTGTTTTTTTGACTAAATGTGAAATCCTCTCTTTGACTACTGCATTAACCACAAGCAGGTTCAATGACACTAAAGTGACACTAAAAGCTTAGTTTGAGAGGTAACTGATAATGATGGGTTATTTATGCAATAAACATCATGTCTTTGCCTTTTTCTGGTGCATTTTTGACAGAAACAAATAAATATCAGTCTCCTCTGGCATCCATGCAGTGATTAAAACTCATGATATTGCAGCATAAATAAAAATACATCATTCTACATTTTAAATAAATAAATTGTCACTTCAGTCGTTACGCTCATTTTGAATACATTTGTATGGAAAATACATCTCAAATGTGTCATTTTTGTGAAGCCTTTGTCAAAGAAACTTTGACATTCACACTTTTGGTGTCTCGAAATGAAAAGTGCATATCCTTAGACTATATTTATCTTGTGCTATAGTGGGTATGTAATCATTCATGCTTCCCGGTGTCATTTTACTATTCAATCCGAATGGAATCAAATAGCAGAGCATTTTCTGCCCTCTCAAAATGTGGGGCACAATTCTTTCCCTCTCTCCTCCACAAGGCCAAAACCCTGTGATACAAACCCCAGCACCAAACTGTGAAGTGTTCACGATAACCCTCTTTTAATTCAGTTTCGATTTCATTTGAGCCCTTGCCAGGAAGAAGATAATGGTATGCGGATGCAATAAAAGCTTATTGATGATGCTTCAGAAATGCCAATCACAGGCAGGCACAAGAGCCTTTCCAGCCATTAACGGGCCACAGGAGTGAATCCCCCCCCCTGCTTTTTCCTGCTTCATAAACTCACACGGGGGAAAAACACAAGCGATCTGTGATAAAACACTGCACAACATGGCCGCCGGAGAAGAGCGCATTACAGATGAGAGGTTAGGGGCAGGGACAGCAGGTGGAGGACGACGCATCTGTCTATGCCACCTGATCTGAATGATCAGGAGCCTGGAAAGCACTGACCAAATGCCCCTGAGAGGAGGGGTGCATTAAAACAAATGCACTAATGATGAATGGGCTTCCTGTGCACCCTGCTCTAAACGCCTGAATAAATCAACCTCGGCATAAATAACTACTCGCGTATGGTAACAAACACACCGATGTACCTCACACACATTCATAACACTTGAAAATATTAAACATGACCTTTGCAAAGCAAAATTATGACAAAATAAAATGTTAAAAGGTCCCTTGTACTGCCTACGCACAGTCATCCTTTTAATGCCAGTAAAGCCTGTGAATGAACCAAGAAGAGAATCCATTCAGAATCCTCTTAGTATGAATTCTTGTCCATGAGTTCAAAGCACTGGAGTGTTTGTTAACACAGGTCAATGACCTCAGGCCTGCTGCTAATCTGTGGAAATGATAGCGCCTTAGCGCAGACAAGAGACACCAAACGCCTACACGTGGCAACAGACCACAGCTTACACGAGTCTGCACTTTCATGTTTTGACACTGATTGATTGTTTGTGGATTGGTTTTGAAATGAAGGCTGGAGGCTGGGAAGGGAAACAAATGGCGAGTCTGCACTGTTCCAATGCTTCCAAAATTCGTCATGTTTGTGCCTCTTGAAAGAATTTGTAAGCATTTAAAGTGTTACATTTGCATTAAGAAAGGCACTAGTATTACTGTCTATTTGACGCATTAGATGCCTCTGTCTAAAACCAGGATTTACATCTAAACTAGGTTCTCACAAACTGGTTTCAGGTCTATTCTAAGAGAGCTGCAGGCAGCTAAGAAAATCAATGCTAAATACAAATAAAAAATTCAATAAATAATATTACAATTTTAAAAATACAAATAATAAAACTATTATGCCTATAAAAAAAAGTATAGGGAAGCATCACTATTAAAATTAAGGCTGATACTGATGAGAATTATCTTCATTCAACGGATAATAACCATTAATCACTCATATCTAACTAAATTAAAAATAAAAGACTAAACTAAAACTAAAGTCAATCATTTTAAAAGTTAAATGTAAATTTAGATGCCACGATATTATAATGTACAGTGTAAAAAACTAACATTAATTTTGAGTTTGAGTTATACATTTTTTTTAAAGATTAACTTTAGGTGAGGGTTTGATGACATCAAAGGTAATCTTAATGTAAAAAGGCAACATGAGTATGAAAATGAAATATTTTATTTAAAAAATTTAATAAATTAATATTATGTTTTATTATTATTATTTTTATCATTTAAAACTTACATTTTCCTATTCAATCTATGTCATGTTTATAATTCTGCACGTTCCAAAACATACCCTAATCTATCGAAATCATGCGCAAAACTATGCAATTTTATTAGATTTCTTTTTTTTTACATTTGTGCGATAAACAATTTTGATTCTGTGTTGGGTCAGATGGTGACCAATGAAAAAACTACTTCTGAGGAAAAGCCAGTTGAGATCCACTGAGCTACACTGTGTAAGATTGGACATGATAAATAGACTAACAAGGTAAATGCCAGTGAGCATCCCTCACTAATTGTGGGTCTACAGGTTAATGAATGAATCACCAAGAGCTACAGCACCTTAAGTTCAACCAAGAGCAAGGCTTCATTGTCTCCCTGTTTCATAAATCAATCACAATCAGCACAATTTAACTGCTTTTCACAAGCATACCGAGGTGAGCTAAAGATTAATTTATCTATATACAAAACAAAAATGGCTGGCTTTTAATGTCTGTTCATAACATCAAAAGCATTTCCGACTTCCTGGCAGTCAGAACAGCTCTTTACTTTACCAGCTGGCGTATCAGAGGACATCCCATTCCACAGGGATGCGAGTCTAACATGGAGGATGGAAGCTGATGGATGAGACAATGTGTTCTCTACAGTTTTCCTCTGAGGAGTATTACGATCACAGATAGCTCATGTCAAGAGCATGTGAGGTAGTGGACCAGTGATCTGTCACGCAGACCTATCAAATATTGCTAGAAACTGAGTGATTTGAATGTATTTCATTAAATGTATTATTTACTTATTTATCCTATTTGTCGTACTCTTTGTTTATTTGTTAGTTCTGTCACTGTTGACGATCTGTGACCCATTTTCAAATTAACAGTATTCAGATGTGAGGAAACCTCATCAGCAATGTTAATTAATGAATGCATTTCAACTCTGCCATTGTGTTTCGACTCCTGAGTCCGTGGCGACTGATAAATAATTCCCTCAGTTGTTGGTGTACGTGACGTGCTACGAGTTTATACAGGGCAGAGCGAGCAGTGCAACCATAATGTGTACTGGGACACATCCTATAGAAAGAGCCTCCTGAGGCAGCAGCACAGAACTGACGTCAGTCAAATGTATAAAAAGTAACTAAGACAAATGATAAAATATACGTATGTTGCAGTGGCATTTAAGTAAGGTGACATTCATTCATTCACACACATATATATTTATACATATGCACACACATACACACACACACACACACAAAGGGGGGGG